ATTCCAGGTAGTCGTAAAAACAGACTTACATTTAAAAACTCACTCTTCCATATAATTTTATATCTTCAACTAGGACATAATTACATAAACATGGAGCACATATTCGGGTGGCTCACTTTAATACAAGTCACCTAATATATTACACCCCCCTAGCTGGCATATACAGGAGAGCAGAAAATTATATCTCCTTAACCATCCAAGCAGGTATGTCATATTTCATATCTAACTGTTCAGCAGATGCGTCTGCATATTACTCTACTAGTGGCCAGGCTGCTAAATACACCGAGAATAAGTTATGAACCATGACATCAACGGTTTTCATCAGTTTTTGGTTCTAGCTTGGGTTTCCGCCTCAACACTCCTCCCCAAATGAGGCGATTGGTTCTCTGCTTTAAGGAGACACCCTGCTGCATTCCTAGAAAAAGCTGAGCTAAGCTTAGTTAAGAAAAATTGAAGATTCTCCCTTTTAACATCGGAACTAACTTCGGGAGATAAGGCATCCTTTCGGCTCTGAAACCTGATCTGCTTAAACCAGGACGTTTGGCAAGTACTTTACCTCCATAAATTCCTTTCTGTTATCTCTTTGCTGTGTTATTGCTCTTTGTATATATATATATATGTGTATGTATATATATATATATATATATATATATATATATATATATATATATATATATATATATAGGCTACATCTTTTTCTGTAAATATTTTTATTGCACCCTTTTGACCTTTTAGTAATAACTCTTACTTTCTGAAAGTGTTGAACTGTTTCTAAAGCTCTTTAATGCAAACTAAGAATCCCTGACTCTGAAGAGCGCTACTGAGTGTGTGTTTTAAACTTCGGTATATCTCTGCCTGCGGTGACAGTGGTATACTGACGCTTATGCAAACATCATAGTGTTATTGCCGATATTGCCCAGTTTCCTCTTTCTCTGTACAAAAGGAGGTGGTGGCAGTGTGAAGGGTTAATTGCGTAATTAACCTGACCCAGTAACAATCGCTCCCAGGCTGCAGATACACAGATTGTGGTCCATTAGCTAGAAAATCTTTGTGCAGAGTGCAGCTGGGCATGGCATTGTTACGCACATGACAGCGCGGTTTTAGATTGGCTAGTCCTTCGGTCAGGAGTTTTGTGAGAAGGGCCGGGGTCTGACGCCGCGATCGTCACAGGTGGATCTGAGGAGTGGTCGGCTGCACCTTTGAGGGACCTCAGCCAATCCACAACAGGAGGCTTGGCAAGGGGCTGGACTTCCTGAAAAGGTGTTACAATCTGCTCAGTAGGAGGAGTGTGGAGGTGGGAGATGAGTGAGAGTCAGGAAGATGTGAGGCTGGAGGAAGAAGGCTATCAGCAATCCTGCTGGGATGGGGACAGCCTGTGAGCCTGGAGCTGGAAAGGAGGAAACCTCAGGACTCACTGGTCCCCTGAGAGAGGACCACCTGTGTGGAAAGGAAGGACCAGCCCAGCTGATAGGTCTGGTAACAGCAGCCATTCCACAAGCTGTACAGGAGAAGGAGCACTCTGGTGTGAAACCAGATTAGCCCTCTGCTAGTGACTGTGCACCTTATTTAAGGGAACAGAAGCCACATCCCCTGCTCAGGAAGAAAGTCTCCAAATTGCTGGGTGAAGAGGAGTTCATCTAGGGTCTGGGGTCTGGCTAGCACTCCAACAGAGACTGTGTGTCAGAGAGAAGAAGCTGTGAATAGTTCAGGAAGTTATCTTCAAGAGGTCAGTTCCCTTGGGCATCTTATACACCCCTATACCATATCAAAGTTTAATCCCCTCAATAAAATAACAAAACAAAAATCTCAAGGCCTGATTTCTGTCTGTGGATGAAAGCTGTGTGCAAAATGCTAACTGACTGGGTGTGAAGGACTACAGGGGGACCCAAATTCATCAACAATCCCTAAGGGGGTAGTGCTACATACACATAATTGTTGATAGGTGCCCCAGCACAAAAAGTACAAGAAAGCTAATATTTCATACCACCAATTCTGGTAAAATGTATTATGACATGGCATGCCACAAGTAAAGTCACATGCGTTGGACCCTATGAAATATCATACCTAAACTGCACATGAGAATTACCACAACTTACCAAAAGTTAAAATTAACCTGTTAAATTAAGTTAAATTAACCTGAAGCAGCAATACGAGTACTGCCTGTTCAAATGGATCTGTGGTAAGAATAAGTAACACCAGCAATATAATAATTATATAAACCATGTAAAAATTAACTGAAATTGAAACCCTTTCCCAGCCCTTCGTCTTACTGCCATACAGGTCTAAGTTGTGGACATATAGGTGTCTCTGGCCAATTCACCAAAGGTCATATTCCAGCAAATGAAAATACAAAATTATTGCCATCCTTGCCATTGCTCCCTATGGCCAAATGAGGCGTACACCAGTTGGCTGGAGCATAGGATGCAAGAGGAATGGGTGCTACAAGAGGGAAAGGCGGCCTGAAAAAGTGTGGGCCAGCCAGCTAGAACATCTACATATCTGCAACCCATTCCTGTAATGTAACCTACACTTCTAGGCAGGAGGAAAGGCTAAGGATGGGCACCTGAGGAACTTCAGCTACCATTTCAATTATCACAAACTTGAAAATCATACACTCAGTTTGAATTGCCAAGATTTTTTTTCAACGGGTTTGCTTCAAAGTTGAAATCCAGCCAGGCACTAAATAAGCAGCTGGAATACAAATATAGAAACTATATCCTTCCAAATATTTTGATAACACAAATCTATAATGCTGACAGGACAAAGAAACAGCAGCGCACTGATGAGTCATCACCCTGTCTTCTCATCCAATCAGCATGGTCACTATCGCAGAGCCTAGTTGGCTCTTAGTGCTAGTCCTCTCTGAGTGGTGCTATAGAGGGGACTACAAGAGACTGATATCAAGATAAACTCGCTGCAATGTAAAATACTTTTTTACTGAATAGAATAAGACACATAGAGCCATGGCGGGGAAGTAGGAAAGGTCAAAATAGGAAGGGTCAAAGAAAGAAAATTAATAAAAAATTGGTCACAATGTCACCCCTCTCCTGGGTAAGGACAGAGTAGGCAGGGATTCACATGGAGTTGGACAGCTCGTTGAGGTAGGTGTCTGTATACATGAAATACTTCCAGGGTCTTCCATGTTGTGCAACGTGGCTGCAAGGTCTTTCATGTCCCGCTTGTTAACCTTGGCGGAACGGAGAGCTTTCGTAGGGGGATCAGCATCTCTCCAGCAAAGTGGGAAACAGGCTTTAGCAGCATTAAGGAGTTGAATCATAAGAGAGGTTTTGTATTTTTTGACAGGTCTCTCTGTCAAGTGCAACAGATCTACAGCAGTGAGTTGTTTAATGACAGCGGTTACATCTTTCCACAACAGCTGGATTTTCGGGCAATTCCAGAAAATGTGGAGCATGGTTCCACTCTCTGTGCCACAATGCCAGCATGTGTCAGGTATCTGGGAGAGTATACAGTGAAGCAGGGGCGGGGGCCCTGTACCATCTGGTGAGGATTTTATAACTAGTCTCCTAAACCCTGGTGGTGATGGATGGCTTCTGGGCAAAGTGGAAATTTTTTCATCTCTGAATGTGAGTTAGACTCAGGTCCAGATCAGATTCCCATTTTGTGAGAAATGGGGGCATGTAGTCCTCCTCAAGGTGAGTCAGGGAGGCATAAAGCAGGGAGAGAGAATTACATATTGGTTCTCCCCATGACACAGTGATTCAAAGCCGCTGAGCAGACAAGCAATGCCTGTGTCACGGGAACGCCAGCAAAGAAAATAGCGCAATTGAAGTCCACCCCACAAATCTGATCAGCAAATTCCGACAGCTAACTTCTCTGCTGTCAGAATACAATGACACAGTGGAGAGGATTCCTACATCCATCTTGAATGTGTGGATGGGGGAATCTGTTTAGTATATTTTTCGTTCAGCCCGCTGGCTGAACTAAAAATAAAGAGCCATGTAAGGCCAGCTTTAGACTTTATGTTGTAGGGATCTGAGAGTAGTTGAGCAGTTTAGCAAAAAAAAAAAACTGGGCAGGGCACACACACCACTCAGCTTAAAAAATTGGTGTGTGTTGTCAGGCCACAACAGTTATTAGGAGGCGAGTGTATCTATGACAGATCAACAGGTATTTTTCTGTACTTGCAAGGTCTTTAAACGGATAACGCATGGGGAAATGTGCATGTACTACAGAAATATAGTGTAGTTTTTTTTTTTTAATTTTACCTTGAAATACACTTTAAAGTGGTTGTAAAGGCTGACGGTTTTTAACCTTCATGAATTCTATGCATTACGGTAAAAAAAACTTCCATATACTGCTCTCCCCACAACCTCCCCTAATGATCACCTGATCCCCCTCTCGATCCAGCGATCTGCACAGGAGCCTCGGGTCTCTCTCTCCTCATTGGAAGCCACTGGCTCCCACTGCTGTCAATAACAGCCAGTGAGTCAATAAGGAGAGAGCGCGCGGGGGGGTGGGGGGTGGCTCTACGTGTCTTATCTTGTAGATGCATAGAGTGGAGCTGGGGCTCAGGTGTGAGCATGCACCAGTGCCCCCATTACAAGTGGCTTGCTATTGGGGGCACTGGTCAAGGGGGAGGAGCCTGGAGTGCCGGCGGGGGACCCAAGAAGAAGAGGATTGGAGCTGCTCTGTGCAAAACCATTGCACAGAGCAGGCAAGTATGACATGTTTGTTTGTTAAAGTGAAATTAAAGTTGTTGTTTTTTTAAATGATACCAGTATTTGTAAGATATAACACTGTAGAATGTTCAATCTGCCTTTGAAGATCAGGAAGGATTTTGTTTCTGTGACAACAAGTTGGACCACACCTTAAGGGTTTATTGACTTCTGGATCAACTGCAGGTTTGAGATTTTGGGAACACGTGTAATTTTTTTAGCTTGGTACATCCTATGTACTTATGCATAATTCAATGCTCAGTCTCCGGTTATGCACATATTAATCACTGTTCTCCAAGGAATGAATGTAAGTAAAAACTTTACCCATTCCTGTGCCAGCAGGTGCAATCTCCCTTGCAAAGATTTCCAGAGCTTTTTTTTGCTTGTGATGAACACCGAGCCAAATGACAGCTTCGCGAGCAAGCTGAAACAAACAACAAATAGGTATCACAGAACGGTAATAAACTCAGACATGCACTGTACCACGCCTTTAAAGAAAACATACAGGTTCTCAATGTGAAAAAGTCATCTGCCTGCTGTGTACAGGTATTTCAGGCATTAAAAGGCGCTAGTTACCTACGTTCATATCCCATGTCAAAAGGATCAGTAGATCCAAAAATACAGGCTGCAGAAAGTCAAGTATCTGTAGTCTATTGTGCCCCCTCTGCAGCAAACTGGTACTTTACCTAGTATAGCAAAGTGCAAGTTTGCTTTAATTGCTTGCTGTCCGGCCTTTGTAGATAAGTGGCTGGATGGCAGCTTTCTGAGGATGGGAGGCATGCTCTGTTATTACTGTTTCAATCAAACCTGGCAAATCATAGAACAGGGTACAGAACCAAAGTGTTATAACAGAAACTATTTTTTTTTTTAAGCATTTGACCTTTGGAAGCTGGGCATGCACTCCTCTCTTCATCTCCATTTTATGGGGAGTGGGGGGATTAGACGTCTACAGAAGAATGACAACATTACTTATGCTTCCAGTTCATCTTACTAGGACACAGCATTTCTGGCAAGACCAGTGGGTGTTTTCCATACTTGCTGAAAAAGTTTGTAGCATGAAATCTGAAAACCAATGCAGCCATTGTGACAGCGTGAGAAAAATACTGCCGATAACCGGCAAGTGTATTTACGTGGTGATCAGCTGTGATTGACCCTTTACCATGTCACGTGATCAGCTGTGTCCAAAGGACACAGCGATTACAGACAGAGCCAGGTGCACGCTACTCCCAGAACTGGACGACCACACTGTAGCCGTCATTCGATCAAGGAGTGATTAAGTTATAATGCACTAGTATGCAGTGTATACTAACACATCATGTCAGACTTACATGTCATAAAATGTTTCCCAACACTGTGGTGTCACTGATCTTGTTAGTCACGATTGATTCCATCTTTGCCTGTTCTTCCTTTTGGGTTTCGTCCCTTCGGCTTCTTGAATGGCTAGGATGCCATGACGTCACTCTTGTTCATGCACTCATCGTGGCACAGATTGGGTGCCATTAACGCACGCTGAGCTTCGCATGCGTGGCTCAGTATACATAACAGCTGACAGGCAGGGGAAGCATTTATGACAGAAGACACCGATAGGGTCTATTCTGTCACAAAAGCCATAAATGTCATAATTTTTTTAAAAAGTGGGTTTACAACCAATTTAAAGGTTCAGTTAAAACCAGAAGTATGCAGAGACTGCATTTAATGCTTACATCTTTTCCTCTAGCATGTGGTCCATATGAATCTTCAGCACCAATAATCTGCAGATGTACTGCACTGTAATCTTCCAAGCCAAGATGAGTGAACATATCTCGAGTTCTAGAAAAAAGTAACATAAGAGAAGTCACATTATATGGCAATCCATACCATCCAATTGTGGCACATATTAAGGTCTACTGAACAAGCATAACCTCCATCCAAAAACTGTCTGTAATAAGATAAAACCCACTTCTAAAAAAGACACTATTGTACACTTGGCCTAATACCTGGAGTAATCACACTATAACTTGACTTGAAGCTAAAGGAAATGATTTAGTATAGTCCAAAACTAAATATAATTGAACTGACCTATAATGCTATTACCTGCTCAGAATGCTTTCAGCTGTCCGCCTTCCTTTTTCTGCTGCTCGTGGTCCTCCTACAGCAGCACATACGGCTGTGGCTCTGAAGCCATCCAGATATGTGGCACACACCTAATTATATAGAAACTTTAGTTACACATATTAAAACATGCTTTATCATCATATACAGTTTTGTTTTTTGTTTTTAACAGAACCATCATAGATGTTTAATACCATGCTTCTGTGCTTGGTATAATTTGCCAACTGCTATTTTGCCAAACCTATTCATGCTAAAACAACTGAACAATACATGTCTGATGATTTTTGCAAGTGGCATTATACTCATTTGTTTCCTGTCCTTGGTTGACTCTTGAATGTTCATTACGTAGCCATTCAAAAATGGTGTAGGGATATCTTGCAGTTTACCTTCTATTGATTATAATGTTAGTAATCTGGCACTTCCTCATTCTGCCTGCATAAAGTTTCCAGGTTCTTCTAAAACAACCAACAGTTCCAAAATCCAAGATACTCTATCATGAAAAATGTGATATGTGTGCTTCATTGAGGGATACATGAAGTCATTTACTACTATCCAGTTAGTCTGCCACCAACAGGTGGATTGGACACTGGTAAACAAAAAAAAATACTGTAGACCAGCCAGGATAATCCCTCCTATTCCAATCATGCCTCATGTTTGTAGCAAGCAGTACCGGAGCATGAGAATAAACATAGAGGGATGTGAGCTGTGTCCACCAATGGACTCCAAGAAAAGGATTGTGTATTTACTGTTTGGACATCCAAAATCAGCTCAACTGAGGGGTGGACAATGGCAAACAATAACTAACAGGCCCAGTGTATACAAACCAGAAGACTGCCTGTAGCTCAAGAGCTGCCTTGAAGGGCCCACATCTGAAGTTGGCCCCAGATAGGGCTGAAATCCTGGCAGTAAGGGGCAAGACCAGATGGCATGTTAACATGGAAAATAAGCTTGATGCCAGAGGACCCATTGGGGTTTATTTACTAAAGCTGGAGAGTCCAAAATCAGACTCCCTTCTGCATAGAAACCAATCAGCTTCCAGGTTTCATTGCCAAAGCTTCATTGAACAAGCTGAGGTTAGAAGCTGACTGGTTTCTATGCAGAAGGGAGTCTGATTTTGGACTCTCCAGCTTTACTAAATAAACCCCATTATGTCAGAATATTCACATCTAGTGAGGATTGACACAACATAAACGAGATCCCTGAATCATAGACCATAATATGGAAACTGATTTCCTGATTCGCCAGAAGGGTGGAATGAAAAATCAATTTTCCAACAGGGAAAGGTTTAAGCATGGTCAACAGGGAGAAGAAACCCTCCTCCTTCTCCCACTGGCCATAGTCCGGCCCCCCTAAAGTCTGAAGGATAGTAAACTGGTCCTTTGTTTATAAAGTTTGGAGACCCCCTGATCTAGGGCATTAAATCTTTGCCTGCCTCTTCCTGCAACCTACTTTGTCCATTACTATAATGGGCATCTTAACTGACCAACAATGAGGAGCAAGAGGCAAGAGGCTTTTTGGGGTTCCAAAATCACTGCAGTAGAAATCAGAAAATATGTTCAAGCAGCTGGATATCTTTCGTCTTGCATACAAATTATCACGTTTTTTTTTTCCAGAGAGGCTCAGTTATCTGGAGTCTTTTTTCTTTAAAAAGTACAGTATGCAGATTACCATCATCAGTCATTTTTCCTGACCTTTTTTTCTCAGTCACTAAGTTCTTGTTTCCAAGGTATTTTCTGCTACTAACATATCCTGGAGGATAAAAGGAACCATGTAAAGAAGTACCTTATATGATGAAGATGGTGGAATTCCTATTGCTCCAGTTACAGTGACAGCCTCCTCATCTAGGAGAGTAAATAATGCAGGTCAGATACAGAAAACAAAACCTTTAAATATGTTGACAGCATTTAGATAGCATTAAATACTGCAGTACATGCACCCTATGCATATTATTATTATTATACAGGATTTATATAGCACTAACAGTTTGCTCAGCGCTTTACAATATGCATAGACAAGAACATATTTTATAAACATAACCTTAGCTTTTTCATATGGTACATCTAGTGTTCTCAGTTGAACAGCTCTCTAACATGTAAAACCTGGCAATATGTTTTCCTTTTTTTCTACTTTATGTTTCTCATTAAGATTAAAAAACACTCAATATAGTTACTCTGAATTCTGTCATCCTAATGTAAAAGAAAAAAAGACACTCTTTAGATCAGCCTCTCAACCTTTTCAACACAGAGGAACCTCTGAAATAACTTTCTGGTCTCAGGGAACTCTGGAAAAAAAATGACAATGTCAAAAACTCATGATACAATAGTGTGATGGTCAGTGGGAAGAATGCTCCTAACACTTGTGTCATTGGGAAGAATTAAAGAATTACCCCCTTAGAGAGAGATAAAAAGATCATAAGTATCAGTAGAAATGTATCTGAGAGTCAGAAATTTCTCATTGCTCAAGGAACCCTCTTGAAGAACCCTGTTGAGAAACCATGATTTAGATGATTTACTTGTCAGGGCCAGTAAAATGCAACACTATTTTACAGCAGTTATTTAGATTTTTTTTCTTCTTATGATATCTAACACATTGAGAATCCTGGTTTCTACAGATAGATACATTTTAATGCAGCAGACTTGATCTGAAGGGCAAAGTGTTACTCAATTGTTATTATAGCCTGGAGGATCGCAGTAGTGCTGAGCTGAAATATAACCTGGCTATAGGGCTTGGGCACAACTAAGTGGTCCAGCACAATGATTCAATGCATGCTAATGGTAAATGAGGACCAAATCATTTTCTTCAAATTTGCAGTTCAAATTTGTGAAGTTATAGGGATGAACTTTGACATTGTATTGCCAAGCTCATGAGTTACAGAAATGAAAGAGGACTACATATAGGCCCGATGCTTTCAGATAATATACATTTTTGTAAGACGTTTCACAAACGTGAAACAGCAAAACAGGTTTGGTTGCCAGAGGTGCAAAAAAGAGACAATGGGGGAGATTTACTAAAACTGGAGCACACAGAATCTGGTGCGGCTCATTATATTAACCAATCCGCTCCTAACTTCAGCCTGTTCAATGAAGCTTTGACAATAAAAACTGAAAGCTGATTGTTACTATGCCCAGCTGCACCACTTTCTGTGTGTGCCAGTTTTAGTAAATCTCCCACAATGTGCCTGGCAACTGAAGGGGTTAAAGAAAATTATCTATAGAGGCTGCAATTGTTGACCACCAATAATACTTTAGGTCACTGACCCACAAAAAGAATACATGTTCTGACTAATACTTTTTAATCCACATGCTTACCGTATTTCAGCTCAGTAACTATGAAATTTTAAAGATCCCATGTGACAGCCAGAAAACTAGCATTTTCTGTATGTATAGGTCAACAATGTCAGTCTACATACTAATTCAGTATGCTTAAAATGAGTTTATATGTATTAATAGCAGCCAATTATGCTTCGCAGGGTGCTAGAACATACGATTATATTACTATCCCTTGAAGGAAACCAAACAGTCTTGGCTAAAATGTAATAATATACAGTATATATATATATATATATATATATATATATATATATATATATATATATATATATATATATATATATATATATATATACACACACACAATAAATATATACATACTTGTTCCAGGTCAGTGATTCATAACGTGTTGAACACATTTTTTTTAATATATACATGGGAGTAGCCTTATTTGTCCATTGCATAGGTAGAATCTGCTTTCTGCTTAGTAGTGCTGCATAGTGACTGTGCTTCACTGTTCTTCCTCAATATAAGTCTATAGGACTTGACTTTAAAAAAACAAATACTGACAATTATAGGGCTAACTGAGCTTATCTTAGCATTAATTAGGAAGAGAATGTGATCATATTCTTTATTAAGAAAATAAAATAATCAAAATATTGAACAGCAAAAAGCTGAAAAACTATTTGAAACATATTTTCATAGAAAAAATAACAAAACTAGAATTGTGTACTTACTGAAAATATGCTACAGTTATTTTTTAAGTGATTGTAAACACTAAATCCATTTTTCAGAATGGCAAGGTAGTGGCTTAGCAACACACACTAAAAATTATTTGCTTGAGGCTAGGTTCACATAGATGCGGTGCGATTTTCCTGCCAGTTTCAGTGCGATTTCAAGGGGTGGTTATTCAGCGATCCAGGTGCAAGTCTGATGCGATTTGGCAGCAGATTCGATCTCTCTCTCTGTCTCTCTCCTTACATGGACCAGGGATGGGAGATACAGAACAAAGCAAAGACTTGCAGAAAACATATTGAATCAGGTTATCCTAAGATAGATAAGCAATTTCCATTCAGGTCTATGTAGCTTACAAAATTGCTCCAAATTCGCACAGGACACGTTTTAAAATCGTCCTCCATAGAAACTCATGTTATTCAATTTGTCATGCGTTGCCATGCGTTCTGGAACACATCAGAAATTGCATCAGTGTGAACCAAGGCTAAGAAAGCTGTATGAAGTGAGGAATGAAGTCAAACATACTGAAAACTTTATGTAAGGTTTACATACACTTCAAAGCAGACCTTTACCTGGAGCAGCAATAGAAAACTAAAGGTACCAATTTTAACTTTTTGAAATGGCATTTCAAAAAGGACATCATTTCTGAAACATGCAGGTTGTTGTTTAATAAATTACCTTCTCATTATTTTTATTCTCTGTTCCTATTCCATTTGCGATTTTAACTAAGGAAAGGTGTCACTTAGAATCGTTTAGAACCACCCCCACCTTCATGAACGAAGAACCCGCGCTGCCCACCCAGTGCTCACATACATCTAAGGCAGCCCATACAATATGCATTTTTCTGTTCAACCAGCTGGTTGAATGAAGAAAGAGCCTTGATTCCCCTATTTACACATTTGAGGTGGATAGGGGAATCCCTCTTTGTATTGTATTCTGACAGCTGGGAGCCTTCCCTATTGTCAGGATACAATGATCAGTGTTGCTGGCTATAGCCAGTGGCGCTGATGCTCTGGGACAAAACTAACAGGCTGGTTGTACACAAGTCGATTAATGAATTGACTTGTGTACAACCAGCCTGCCCATACATGGATTGAAATTTGACTGGTACCTGCTGAACTAACAAATTTTGATCAACGTGTGGTTGGCTTAAGGGAAAGATAACCTTTCCCCATTGTACAGACGAGATCTCCAGGAAAGGCACTGGGGACCCAACCTTCACAGGGAGCATCTGTGAGGTCCTGGCTACGTCACCAGTCCCTCAATTATACATAAGTAGCTCAATACAAGCTTTATTTGGAAGTCAACTTGCAGATGTTTTAGAAGGGGAACGCAAAAGCACATGTATTTAATTTATTACATACATATGTTACATATATAGCACATTCACATCAGTCACTAACCCTCAAGGAGCTTACAATCTAAGGTCCCTAACTCACATTTATACATACACATACTAGGGCCAATTTAGACATGAGCCAACAAACCTACCAGCATATCTTTGGCAGTGTGGGAGGAAACTGGAGTACCCAGAGGAAACCCATGTAGGCACAGGGAGAACATGCAAACTCCATGCAGGTGAGGTTGGGCAGGCAGGTGGCATGGTTGGGATTTGAACCACTTAGCCACTGTGCTAACCCAAACACATCAAAGATTTTGAGAGCATTAGAGAAATATCCATTTTCAATTACCAAAAACAACTTACTACCATGGTAAGGTGGAATAATTTAAGAGACATGCTTGCAATCCTTCCAGAGTGCAGTAGAGTTCTTTGCTGTATCTTCCTGCTGCTTTAATTATCCTGCTTTAGTTAAAGCAGTTTTGATACTGTTTTACTCCACTCTCTTGGTCTCCGATACTCTGCGCTCTCCTGGTTCTCCTCCTACCTATCGCAGCGCTCCTTCAGCATTACCTATAACTCTGCCTCCTTCTCTTCACTCCCTCTTTCTGTAGGGGTCCCTCAAGGTTCCGTCCTTGGGCCCCTACTCTTCTCCATCTACACTTCCTCCCTTGGTCACTTGATAAACTCCCATGGCTTTAAGTACCATCTCTATGCTGATGACACACAAATCTATCTTTCTACTCCTCACCTCACCCCTTCAGTCTCCTCTCGCATTACTAACCTACTAAGTGACATATCGGCATGGACGTCACTCCACTTCCTCAAAGTCAATCTTTCTAAAACTGAGCTCTTACTATTCCCCCCAGCCCATGCCCCCTCTCCTGACTTCTCCATCAAGATCAATAATACAACCATCAGTGACTCCCCTCATGCCAGGGTGCTAGGTGTAATCCTAGACTCCCATCTGTCCTTTCAGCCCCAAATCCAATCACTGACAAAATCATGTAGACTTCACCTCCGCAACATGTCCAAGATATGCCCTTTTGTAACCTCTGAAACCACTAAGCAACTAATTCACTCCCTGGTTATCTCTCACCTTGTCGATTGTAACTCCCTCCTCACTGGCCTACCTAATTGCAGGCTATCCCCTCTTCAGTCTATCATTAATGCTGCTCATCTACCTTACCAACCATTCCATATCTGCCACCCCTCTCTGCCAATCCCTCCACTGGCTTCCCATTGCCCAATTAATAAAATGCAAAACATTAACAATAACATATAAAGCAATTCATAACTCTGCCCCAAATTGCATCACCAATCTTGTCTCCAAATATCACCCAAACTGTACTCTGCTCGCTAGCTCACTTGTCTCCTCCTCCCATGCTAGTTTCCAGGACTTCTCCAGAGCCTTCTCCATCCTCTAGAACTCTCTACCCCAATCTATCTTACTATGGGCTACTCTGCCCACTTTTAGGCGATCTCTGAAAACCTCTCT